CTGCACATCTCCAGCAGCAAACACGCCCTCAACCGATGTTTTTGCAGACCCTTCCTCTACCAAAACGTAACCAGCAGCATCAAGTTCGACTTGACTTTCTAGTAATTGGCTGTTTGGAGAATGGCCAATTCCATAAAAAAGGCCTTTTACCTCCAAAACCGATTCCTCTTGAGTGTTGACATTTCTAATCAAAATGCCCGACATTTGATCCTTTGTGTTGCTCACAACATCCACAGTCTCGGTGTTGAAGTGCACCGTGACGTTGGGATTGCTGAATACTCTGAAACATTCGCCATAATCAACCTGTTAAACAGACATTCAATTCACAGAGTTGAAAAAAACCTTTTTTATTTTTAAACATGAAAAAAAAAAAGAGCTTTGTTTAGTAGTCGTTTAACTAACCCGAAAATATTGTTACGCGAAGCTGAAAAAAAAAGGACAGAACAGAAAAGAGAATTAACCAAAGGCTTTCAATTGTAATGACGAATTTGTTAATAAATCTTGCCGTAAAGAGGGTAGGATTTGTGAAGTAGAAACAAATAACGGTGACTAACAGGTATCCATAATTTCAACAAATTGTTTGAGAATTTTCTCTCTTTGCCTCTAGACTATATATATATACACACACACAGTTGCACAAGACCTCGATGGTACCTTTTCTAAGGAATCCAGAAAAAGAAAATGCATGACAGTGAATAAATAAACACATTTCGTAAGAGCAAATCCATAATCATACCCGGTAAGTCAGACTGAACTCTCCCATTTTGCGTAAAAAACGGTCGAAAAAGTAAATCATAAATAAATAGTGTTGGTAGTTGTAACTACGTATCTTTTACCTATCTTGCATTGCTTTCGAAGCCCTTAATTGGTCCTTACGAACAAGCAAGTGAACATGTCGAGCATACTTCGTCAAATACAAAGCTTCCTCTGTGGCCGTATCTCCTCCTCCCACAACAGCAAGAACTTGGCCTTTGAACAGTGGGGAAGCTCCATCACATATGGCACAGGCACTTATTCCTCTACTCCAAAACTCTTCCTCTCTAGGCAATTTCAGCCTCTTTGCAGTGGCACCCGTGGCATAAATAATGCTGTGGCATTTCACCTGAAAATACGAGGCATAATATTTTTTGTCAAGTTAAAAATGTGCTACGGAAATTAAGAAATAGCCATAAATCGATACGTACAAAAGTATTATTTAATTCATACAAATCGACATTTCAATCAAGATAAATGCTCTCTACCAACAAGTAAATGCACCGAAAAATGCATGAAAGTTTGATCACCTTGCGTTCACTACTCTGCACGGCAAAAGGTCTGCTTTTCACGTCAATAAATTCCACATCTTCTTGATATAACTCCGCCCCCCAACGCTCAGCTTGTCGTCGCATTCTAACAGAAAATAAATACAAGTCAACATTAGAATATTTGAATCCATAAAGCAACTTATAGGAAGTAAATATACAGCCAGTCGAAAAAGATCATTAAAAAAAAATCCTAGAAGTAAAGAAACACCTTTCCATTAAATCTGGACCCGTGATACCATCTGGAAAGCCTGGAAAATTCTCCACCTCGGTTGTCGTCATCAATTGTCCACCTGGAACACCACCAGCTTGATACCCTTCAAAAACCACTGGCTTCAAATTGGCTCGAGCAGCATATATAGCGGCAGTATATCCAGCTGGACCAGATCCTATTATTACCACATTCTCGATCCCCTGAGCTGCAACGAAAAGACAGAAATTACTTAGCATAAGGGTTGTAATGAAAAAAAAA